CATTAGCAAATATTACAGTTACAAATGTAGACTGCCGCAAACTTGAAAACATCAGTGTAGCTTGGGATAAAAGAGCAGAGTTTGTGGAAGAAAAGCTGAGAGTTGAGGGAGAGAACGACCATGGGCATTTAAGGCGAATGTGGGAGGGGCAAGACTACGTAAAAAAGAAGGTTTGTGAAATTACCCCGTTAGAATACAGCAGTACAAAAGCTACGTGGAAGAATCGGGAGTTGTATGAAGAAAATGAAGGTGAGGCAACAAGAATCTATAAAGAAATGGGGGAAGAAGTGGTGAGATTATTTACAAGCGCAAGATGAAGCAGTTTGCAACTATATCAGATGTTTTGAAAGGTAATGATAATGAGTAAAAGGAGTAAAGTCAATTGTCTTTTATTTGTAGACGCGAATGCAAGTGATAGTGTTACAGTCAGTGTTATTGATACAGAAACTCAGTATACTATGATGTCTAAAACTGCCTTCGTCGCGGTGTTCCCTGATAAAACATTAGACAATCCTACGTGAACTTGGAGTCTTTGCATGCGCACTCATTATATGCGGATGCAGAAGCAGCTGTAAATATAGTTCCAAAGAGGAAGAAAATAGCAGCTCAGAGTAATTCTTTGTGACGGGGAAAATGTTTTTTTTTGTCCTTGATTGGTAGATAAAATCTTGGTAAAATTCTACCTGAAAGAAGAGAATTGTTAGATTAGATCAAGTAAAATATGTTAAAGCACTGAAGGATGCATATTGGAGGGCAACAAGCACAAGGAATTCAAGAATTGGAGCAGCAGTGCAAGAATATCTGCAGTGTAGACAAAAGCTCACGTTTTGTATGTTATAAAGCGAGCATTCGACTGAAACCAGACGAACGGCCCTTTATGCACAGTAAATTCCGTGCACCACATAGCTATAGGGAGCCTGAGACAGTTGTTACGAGTAAAGGACCGGGAAAGAAAATACATTAACGTGAGAAGATTGCAATGGGAATTACAAGTGGGGCCCTTACCAAAGTCTAATTCCATAGAGATTCAGGTGGTTCATGGTAATGAAAGGACAGTCAACACCAATATTCTTGTGGACCTTTATCTCTTGCCCATCCCTGAAGATATTTTCAATTCTCTGAATAATTTCAGGGTGTATTGTTTGCTGGGTTGTGCTGATGCGACAACGTAGATGGATCTGAAAGAATCATCACAAGAATGTAAAGAAATAAATTGAATCGTTTATTTCAGAAATCCGTTAAACGCCAAATTGCTCATTTCGAGAAAACTGAGAAAAAGTCACCCAATTTATCAGATTTGAAGATATTTTTACTTATTAATGCAGTTGATAAATGAATATTTTTACATAAATATTCACTAATCGATGTGTCTATCCCCTTGAAATAATAATTTGTCCCTTATACTGTTTTAGATTGTGGGGTTTCTGAAATAATCGATTCAATTAGTTTACTCAAACACGCAGAATTACCAAACGGTCTGGCATATTCTAGGGCATATTTTCAATATATAATCGAATACATTTTAGACGATATTATTAACTTATAGGGGGAGAGTACATCAAATTGTCGCAAGAACCTGCATATTGGGAAAACTGAGTAAACAGAATAACAGTACATTGTGCAAAAGTCAAGCTTTATGTTGACCAAGTAGAATTTTTATGTTATGTGCTGGCAGAGGGAGAATTAAAACCATCACTAAATATTGTCAGTTATCATGAAACGACATATACCAAAAATGTGCTGGAATTGGGTTTATTGTTACGAATGCTCAAGTTTTATAACAAGTTTCTATCGCATGCCAACACCGATTTGAATCCTCTATAAAAGGGGGGTCACATGGGAATGGACTGTAAAATGTGAGCACGCCATCCAGAATAGTGAGTTGGTACATTGTAAAACCTCCTATGACCCCATGAAGACTACAGTTGTGAGTGATGCTTGGTCTGCAGGAGTGAGAGCTGTATTTGCACGTCGATTTGATTTGATTTAGTCAAAAACCAGAAAAAATAACTGAATGTGACGTATGGTGGAGAAGTACCATTCGTGCGCGGTTTCTTCAGCTTCGGAATTTCTTCCCAACATTTTAACTACGAATAGTTGAATGATGAAAAAGGTTTCAGAGAAAGCGAGGTTAGCGACATTTGAAAACTAGACATTTTTGCTCCCGAGTTATAGAAAACTTATTTAAATCGGTAAACGAACTGCAATTTGTTTTTTTTTGCTAAGAAAATGGTAATCTCCTGGACTAAGAAATGGTACTCCCGGCACTACTACCACTTCTAGCAAAATGATAGCTCACTAAAGCGTGAGCATAGTGAACTTACATTTCTGCCCAGAAGCAATCTCAGTATTTGCTCAATGGATCAGGGAATCTAGACAAAAAAGTGATCGAGAGAGTCATTGACTCGGAAGCCGAAGTTCATTACTTGTTACAGTCATATTAAGTCTTTTTTTATCATACAATTGTAAGCGCGTGCATTTTATATCATTGTTAAAATAAATATTAGGCTATATTACTTTTTGATGGTCAGTGAAGTCTATAATTGTATAGAAACAGCTGAGCAGCACAAAATATTTTACTTTGAACTTCAATTTGTGAACCGATTTTAATTGTACAATGCGATAATAATTGAAAAATGGCGATGAGCTGTAAAGTAAGGTACATGTGAATTTCTTCTAGTCGATGACAGTACTGAACGGCCGGCGGCCATTACATCTCAGTCCTAGACGAAAGATTAAAAAGGGTATTCTCAGTTGAAGACGGAAACATAGTGATTCTCTCTGAGTTCCAAAAACACCCACGGAGTGGACAATGAAAGTTGTAACAGACGTTGGTAGTGACAAACCAACATCACAAAGATTATTAAGATCTTGAATACACACCATCTGCAGCACGGATACAACCACAGCCATTGTCGCCGGCAGAATTGAACGATAATGGAGGATATCTAAATCTTGCAAAGACGCATACAGAAGTACTTAGGTCCCGTCTTCAAGAAAAGAACCTGTTACAACCAAACACTAGTATTACATTCCGTTATCGACAGCTTCATCTTTCCAGATTTTTCTCAATAGCAGAGAGTTACGTATATTGTAATGGCATAAATGAGCTGCTAAAAAAATTGAGATGATTCACAATACAGAAGAATAGCGCCTATTTATCTGTTCCTCAAAGAGCTGTCTCAAAGTCGACAATTTCTTGGGAAACGTAATGTGTGAGAAGAACAGGAAACTGGCGGAACACATGCTGGACTGTTACAAGACTATGGAATGAAACATGTATCTCTGAAATTACATATCCTTCATTCCCATTTGGATTTCTTCTCGCCTAATCTTGGAAATGTGACGAACATGAACCTTTTGGCGGATTACTGCTGGAATTTCACCATCCACGTGCGGAGGACGACGTCCTTTAGCTATCCAAGGGCGAAGTTAAGTCAAAAACGTTGATGCCATTTTCAGGAAAATTTCGAAAATGTTCCAAGAGCATCATGTAAAATACTCCCCCTCAAAAAAATTAAAATTTCGGTTTGAAATTCAAGGCGCCCCGACAACAGCCAGATCGATTGGGGAATAACAATTTTGGAGAAAATCGGCTGAACGGTTTAGGTACTAGCTTTGACCAAAGAGAGACGGACGGACCGACGTTACGTCCTCAATCGATTTTTAGATGTCAAGGACTCACAAAACATGGATTCAGAATCTATACTGTGTTAGAGGAAGTAATTTACTATATATATATATATGAACAAGATTTATCCACTTTTTCGTTACCAGGGCCCGGCAATAAGAGATTTTGTGTCGAAAATATGCATTCGCAATTTTTTTTTAAATTCAGTTTTAAATGAAAATTGGACCTACACCATTTTTATAAGTTTCATTTTTTTAAATTGTATTTTATAAATTTCTTCATTGCTTTTTACCAGCAAAATTGGAGCTACTTTAGAGAAATTTTTGAAAATGTCATGGGGACTTCTTGTAAAGTACATTAAAAAAATACAATATCCATCTCAAATTCAAGGGAACTGCCACGTCACCAATTTTTTTGTATACTCCTGTTTGGATATTTCAGTTGTTCACAGATTGACAGACTACTTGCCAAAAGAAAATCTTTTTCAGAATTTAGGACTCATGACGTGGATTCTGACTACACTACATAGTTGAAGAAATAATTTACTAGTATATAAGAAAAAATTATGTTCTTGGTTCCAGAGAAAAAAAAACTCACTTTCCCCTGCAGAATTAGAATACTCTCTTTATGATAAATGAAAGTATAGAAAATCCATTACCTTTTTTGTATTAAAAATCAAATATTTAAACTAATTGTAATTTGTATAAAAAGACTTAAAAGAAAACAATATGAAATAAAAAATCAAGTACAAATAATTAAATAGAACTGTATTGTCTTACAAATATTAAGTTTGCATACGTCTGAAAAGTGGTATGTGGTGCATTCTTGTAGAAGTAAACATCTAGGGATTAAGGTGGGGCTTCACTGAACAGTGATACTGCTCTCTTTCTGTTCTCCCATTTTGTGATTGGAACATCTTTTCAGAATGATACAACCCAGATGTCTTTGCATCCAGTGGTAATAAATAATACTGATCTCTGAAAAATAATATAGCCATTTATGACAATTTTGATGGATTTATAGAATTTCATTAAAATACAAGAATAATTGCTAATGATGTCAAGAACACAAAAAAACAACTCATTTTCTCTCAGAATCATAATAACTATTTTTCTAAAAAAGTGGGCAATAGTAACCACAGGATTTTAGTGGGAAGAAAAAAGAAAATAAAAAAAAGAAAAAGAAGAAAGAAATTGCATATTGAAACTATAAAATACACACATTTATCATTCGATTCAAATATACATGCCTGAATGAATATACAAGTGCATTGATGGCCTGAAAAAGGTAACAACGTTCCATTAAAAAAGAATAGATGCTAATAATTTTAAATTAAAACAAGGAAATACTCTGGATCTTTTCTATTCTGTTTAAATGGAACTGATCACAAATGCATTATATTGGTCTCTGCATTACATATTGATTATTAACATGATTTATGAGACTAGAAAAACTGTAATTCTTACATAACTTCTCAATCATTTCAAAACAATTTTGTCATGGTAGTATTTCTGGCAAGTTGTTTTGATTAAATTTGAACATACCTCTCAATTCACAAGTTTTCTTGTCTGGCTAATTAAAATGATGTGCAAACATATGGCACAAATGGAAATGCAGATTAAATAATGATACATACTACATATACACAATGTACAATTAATTGCATCAGTCTCCCTTTTCAATAAAAATACAGCATAATATTCTAACACAATAAGTTATTATCTTTAAGATACATATAAAACAGAATGTTTATATACAAAAAATCTAAAGTTGAGAATAAAATGTTGCACATTTAGTTGCATATGCACATATTGCATACAAGTTCAACAAATAAAAATATTGTTTTACACAATTAAATATTACTTATCACAAGAAAAGTTTCTTTTTTTCTCCAGAATATTATGGAAAGTATAATATAATAAAAAGAATCTTTAGAAGTATAAATCATATTCAATTTCAAGAACCAAATAAAAGGGGTATGACATGATTTTAAAATCAATATAAAAATATACAACTGCAGCAACAACGCTTGGTCTTTTAATAATGACAGCCTTTACCTCCAATATAAATAAGGGTAAAGAAACATATTACAGTGGGTAACTTTCATTAAGTAATAACATTCAACATATTTCTGGGTTACATTAAATAATTAAATATTTATACTCTGTAACTGGCCTCAAAAACTTTTTGTGATAAAACAAAAAGATATACCTCTCAGAATGCACACCACAACCCCAGAACTCACAATCATGTATAGATTAGACTTGTTAATTCTGAATCTCAAAGAATGCAAAAATTACTCAACCCAAAAGAATGTTATAATTTGTCAGAAGCTTTGAAAGTTAGAAGAAGAAACCAAAATCAATATCAAAGAATCACTTACAAATTGAATGAGAAGAGCTTATCCTAGAAAATTAAAACATTATTACACGTAATGAAAATTCACACAATAGTATAAATGGAGTAAGTCACAAGATTGACTACAGTATATGGACCAAAGGTCATTAGAGATCAAGCACAGAGGTAAGAAAGCAATAAGATGTATCGGTAAAAGCAGTAAGCTAGTATCGGAGTCAAGTAAAAGGAAATAAGGCAGGAGTACAAGGTAACGGATAATTTGAAAAATAGGGTGAAGAAAAGAAGGGAGGGAAGTGGATAGAGATACAAGCAGGATAAGAATTGAGACTTTAAATCTTCTTACCATGAAGACATATGTAAGGGCCAAATGAGAAAGCAAGCAGGATGATGGCAACTATAAAATCCAACTACACCATTAGCACTCTCAGTTCAAATGCTTACAGGTGAACTTTCATTAGGAAAGGAGAAAGACACATATTGATAATGTTTCATACTTTCAATTTGCAATGTGATTTTTCTCACCAGAAATTTCAAAAGAAATGAGATAAAAATGATGTTTAGATAGTGAAATGTAAATAGAAGATCTGAAGAACGATTATAGTGAAGTGACAAGTAAGACCAAAGAATAATAAGGCTGCAAGTTAAAAATAAATGAAGATGGGAACTGAGATATTAAAGTGGTCACAATTAATTCAGTCCTTGTGACCATAAATGTCTACATTTACCATCAATTTTCCACAAATAGTTACAAATCATGCTAATGTTTTGTAACACAAATAAATTACAAATTTAAAAAATTATTAAAAAACTGCATAAGAATTGTATTTTGATGTAAAATTTCAAAAGAAAAAGGTTTACCTCAAAGATAAAAATTATCAGATAGAAAATTGTAATAATTTTCTTAGAATTTGTGTTCATTATACTTTCCTGTATTCAGATATGACTAATAAGAATAGAACTTGGAAGGTAAAACTGTACATAATGTTCTCTTAATGTAATTCATATTAATGTTCCTTGAGACAATGGTTACATTCCAGTAAACAATGCAAATTAAAATAAAACCTATTCAACTCACTCAACCTCATAAGTACTAGATCAATGTGGTATATAGCACACGGTTAAACCCTGCATAAGATAATATCATTTTATCACACCCAGAGCCATCTTAAGAGTATAAAATTTCTCGCATTAATACTTGTCAATTTATAGTACGATTTATTTAGTCGTGCACTTGACATAAATCAGCTCTTGTGATTTCATCCAATCGGGAGCTTGTGCTACAATGACGTCACTATGGCGAAATTCAAGCTCCCACTTGAATGAAACCGTGAACAGCTGTTTTACATCAAATGCACAGTTAAATAAATCCTAGTATGAACTCCTGTTTTCCTTTGTAAAATTAAAATTGTTTTCACATTCAATTTCTAAGCCTTGTGCAGGTTTTGATCATGCGAGATATTTTTGTAAAGATGGCTCCAATCATACCTTTATTCCTTAAAGGTAAAGACATTTCTTTTAAATATTCATTAAACTCACACAAGCTTAACTGAATTTCAAATCCATTTTTGTAGCTATGAAGAGATTGAAAAGCCACATCTGATCAAATTAGAAAATACTCATAATAACCATTCTTTCCTAACACACAAACTTTGGCATCTGCACTGCTCCACCATCAGTGCTCGCAACATTCACACACAATTTTTTTGCTGAATCTCTCAGCAATCGTAAGAAATTAACTCTCTCATATCCAAACCCTCACACTGAAATTTCAACTCGTCTTCCAGTTTTTCTGCTGCTGTCTCCTTGTGAAGTTCAATTTAATAACACGAGTTTCTACGCTCACTGAAGGTTCAGTTTCAGTGTCCTCCTTTTCAGAATGTCACTGTAACTGAAATCTGAATTGTTAAAGTTGCTGCAAGCAGCTCCCCTGAGTATTCTGATTTCAAAGAAAAGCGTCCTGGCTCATCAAACATTCAGATGAATTTAAAACATTTCTGTTTGTCGTGAGGTATTCGTGTTTTAAAAAGAATGGAGTCGGCTCGAAATTGTGTATTCAGCAAAGGCATGTATCCAAAAACCTGAAACAAGCATATGGGTTTCAGGAAAAAAGTGTCAAACTATTTGCACATCACAGTGAAACAACAGAGGCAATTGAGATTGGTTCTTCAAAACAAAGTGAATATGAGAAAGAGTAAAAACAATTTGAAACAAAAATGTTCTAAATGTTGGAAAAAAAGGCAATTTATTGGAAATCATCAAAAAGAATTGAATGAGTAATAACAGAAGAGTTTGCTGAATATTTTGATAAAGATGAGTGAAAAAAGAGATGATTAAAAAAATGTGAAGATGTGCCATAAATTTTCCACTAGTTGCATTTGGTCAGGTCTTTTTCTTAAACATCATAATTGGTGGTTGAAACTACTGCACAATTGACAAATGTGAGATATCGTTAACGTTCATCTCTTTCCACATAATCAATTAGTGAAAACGTTTATATGGCCTAAGCACTGATAGGGCAGACATGGAAATATAAATAAAAAATAAAGATAGCAATTTATTCTGCATGTGGAAAGAAAATTAAATATGTATCATATGTAGTTCATTTCATTTAATTGAGGTTTCCCATTGTTTGGTATAAATAATACATTCCCTTTCTAATGAGAAACTAGATTTACAATTTTAAAACAATATTAAGGCAGATGCTTTAATCAAACACAGTGGAAATATGTTAGCAAACATACTTACAATGAATAAACTCAATTCAGTGAACTCTTAGTTTAATGGCCTTCAGTTTTGTTTAAACATTTGAAATCCCTACTTAACGTTTTTGGTGATGCAAAGTCATTTTCTACTGCTCAGGGGTAAAAAATTATAGTTTTCAAATATTATCAACCAGACTTGTTGGTACCTTATGATTCACAATTCAAATACAATCAAAACTCATAATCCAATTGCATGTAAAGGAAAAGAGTGTGATTCTAGGGCTCAAGAAAATGTGTTAGATTTTACTTTTCCCCCATAAGCCACATACAGTTATTACACTTTTTTGATGATAAATAAATTCAATTAAAAATAAATGTTAAATGTAAATAAAAATTAAATGTAAAATGTGTTTTTAAATTGTTTGTTTTCATATTATCAATCCCATTTCAATTAATACTGACCTTAGATTTTCAGTAATAATTATTTTGCAATGTCTTAGCAACACCAACTTCTACCCGCAACATTTTGATCAAATTGTATAGATTTTGTACAGGAAAATAAAGGAAGCTTCATTTTTTGTTAAAAGGATGTATTCAGACTCATTTGTCATCACTTCACTCAAGGGAAATTTGTTGAAAATTTTATTGTGAAAAGGAACTTTAATCTCTGTAAAACACCCACTTGACACAGACTTTCCACGGTCCCTTCTAGCTTCCTATGTTTATATCGATAAATTATCCCTGTTTTTACACTTTCAAAATTATTTTTTTCCCACACTTTGCACTTTTTGAAGCCATCACAGATCTGTGAATGCAATTTTTTCAAGATATTTTGGCTTTCTCTCGCAAGTAGATTTATACTGTTCGCTACAAATTCCAATTGACTGAGGGATATCAATTTTAGAAAAAATCAGCTGAACGGTTCAGTCGCTGGCATTGCCATGGACGAAGAGACTGATAGACATTTTGCTGTAAAATCAATTTTTCTGTATCATGCACCTACAAAACATAGATTCTGGGTTCACCAAGTATTAGAGGAAGTAATTTACTGTAAATGGCAATAGGATGTATCCACTCTCTCGTAGCGAGGGCTCGGCAATAAGTTTTTCTGCCTGAAATTCGCCATTTTGCAGCGCATGATAACCCAAGTTTCTCTTCCTATTGGCAGTAAGAGTAAGTAAAAATACTAGAATTCTTGAATTTTAAAGTGCAAAATATTAATTATAAGTGGATTGTGAATTTTCAGTACTTTAATTTTTGTGCAATAGGATTTTCCCTCCGTTTACACTTTCCCGTGATTTACACCGATTTTTCTAGGTACCTTAAAAAGTGTAAAAGAAGGGTTCTGCTGTATTAAGATTCTACAGAATTAAATCAAAGAGAAACACACAAAAGCCATTTGATTACCTCTGTAAAGAAGTTGATGCACTTATGTCTCTCCTGGAAATGAGTGTCATCTTCTGAGAGGGATACTGGGCAGCCTGGGCAACGAAACGTCCATCTTGATGTTACCTAAGGACAGAAAACAGGGCATTAGAACAATTTTACTCAGCTGCGTTTAAACAAAGAATCACATGTTGATTGTACCCTCATAATACCACTTACCTTTACAGGTGGTTTTCGAGTGATGTGAGAGACTAGAAAATTCATGGCAATGTCCTCGCAATTCATGTACTCATCAACTTTGTCTCTCACAGCTTGGGGTAACCAGTATGTATATAAATATGTATAGTATTTGTGAAAAAATGCTGCACCTATAAACAGCCCAAAAAATAACTTTTAATGTTTGTTAGACAAAGATCTATTGGAAAAAGAAGCAATACAATGAGAGAATACCTCCAACTTATCTTCATATAAATACTTCTAAATTAACTTGCAGAGTGAAAAATTCAAACTTGGGAGTAGAGATGGGTGGGGAATTTCAGAGGAGTATGGAATGAGACCCTCAGGATACAGGCGTTGGTAGACCTAAGGAGAAGGGGCATATGTGGGAACTCTGGAGAGTGAGTTGACTGGCAAATACCTCAATATAATTATATTGATTGAAAATGTAATTCATATTTAAGCAATCACCTGTTAGGACCATGGAGAGTTCACAGGAATAATTAGAGTTGTACAACCATCCTCCATGATTTAAATCCCAAGCATGGTAGCGTCCAGGAAATCCTACAACTCGATCTCTTTGTTCACGCCAAACTCTGTTAACAAATATTTTGAAATGAATAAACAATATGAATGCCGGTCACATGGCAGATATCATTAAGGCAGTAGTACCATAGCAGTCTCCAACCAGAAAATCGCGGGTTCGAGTCCCACCTTGAGGCATAGGTGTATTTGTGTTCGCCTGTATGTATGTGTTGTCCTCTCACCCCTCATAATCATCATCATTTCATCTTCCATATCTTCAAGGCTAACAACCAAGGGGCTTCAAACTGGACTCAGCAGACATGTTGATCTCCTTATAATGTTTCACGTGCATACCCTCAGGAAAAAATATGACTGGGCCTTGGTGGGTATAATTGCATGTCTGCATGGTCTATAGAAAGGCCAATTTGTGAAGCAAAGACAACAAAAAACAATATGAATAAACAAGGCCCAAAGTATTTTCTTAACTTTCTTAATGTTATTTTCTTATTTATATCCAAACAAACATCAATTCAAAGTTTTGGACTGGAAAAAAAAATGTTGGAGGTTCAGTTTTCAATATTTAACCCCTTTTAGTATTTTAAAATGAAATTAATGTAGTTTTTGCATAATTATAATTGAAAACAATACACGCTGGAGACATCTGTGGTATGAATATTACACATGATCAAAAGACAATTACTAAAAATTCCATGAAAACAGACTGCAATATAATCAATTTTATTACTAATTGATTACCTACAATTGCCCAGGTACTTATTTTCAAGATCATCTTTTAAGCCTCCCTTGTACACCCTGCAATGGTTGTCTTTCCCAGCACCCCCACTCCATCAGTTTCACCCTCTCAACATACTCCACATGCTTCTCCACTCTTTCCACACAGTCCTTTCCCTCAGCTAAACCACAGCATCAGCTTTTGGGTTCCACCTCCTCCTTTTGCGTCACCCGCTCCTCCAGCTTGTTCACTGGCAAAGGAGGCTGGGGGTTTGGGCTTATAAAAAACTGTTCAAGTTGGTTGTCTCAGTAGCTAAGTGGTCAGAACAGTTGAGTGTAAACCAGAAGCCCCAAGTTCAAATCCCAGTCGAGGCAACCAATTCTTTGAACAAATTTAATTATTAAAAAGCATTGTTACTCAGTTACATGGTCCCAACATAGATTTCTTTACGACTGTGAAACATATCTCCTAGCATAATTTGCATCCAACAGGGTGACGGGAAAGTTGATAATTGTACATCTTCATTTTGGTGAATGTGTGGTTTGTCTTGTTATGATATATGTCTTATTGATATTTATAATGGGTTAGGGGAAGTAACAAGATGAGAGACACTTTGATCAAAATCAAGATATTAACATTCACAAACAGTGGGGGGTTATGGCTGATGTGATTACTGCCCCAAGTACTTCATTTGACTAATGAATGAAAAATAGGTACTTCTAGTGTGAATTACACTAATGGGAAAACTGATAATTTTTTACTGTTAAGACATCTGAAATAGATTTAATCACATATTACAGGTGATACAATTCTTCTTTATCAATAGACTCAACTCATGAAAGAACCATTTACATAAATAATCAAGAAATAGTTAAAAACACTTACCTGAATCCAAACATGATTTCATCATGTCTCAAGTGTGCATCATCATCAACGGACAAAACTGCCTCTGTTTCTATAGCTTCATATGGCAGAAAGCGATTATTAAGGCTATTACGACTGGCTTTCACAACCTGAAAAATTTGAGTAAATCATGACCATCAAACAAATATTCTTTGAGATGACCATAAAGGTCCAAGGCTTTACTGAGAATGGAACCCTATTATTTCCACAACATAGGGTATTTCTAAGTTCTTTTAGGTCTAATGAAGAAATGAAATTGTAATTCTGGAAGGGATTCTGGAACTCAAGAAAACATGCACAGATAATCTTCTCCCCCCTATGTCACATACAGATTTTCCTGTTATTTGACTGAATAATCTAAATGTAATGAAATAATTATAAATTGAGTATTCTTACAAATAAATGCCATTAAATAACTAAGAAAGCTTTTATTGAAAGTTTTAGAATGCAAATTGTTCAAAACAATTACAAACGTTACACTTTTGAAAATTCAAAACTTTTAATGATCACCTACCCAACAGTTACAGTGGAATCTTGTTAGTATGTTTTTCAAAGGACTGAAAATTTTGAATGTCATCAGTAGGAAAACATGTTAATGAATATTACTCAATTTATACTTACTTTTCACATTTCCGTCTTAAAACCATTACAATAGAGAACATTACTAGATATGTAAATTACACACAAATATTCACAGGATGAAATTATTTATTCATAAATGACTTAAAATAAAACTAAATTACACACACAGAGCACTCAGATTAAAGCACATTAAGGACTGTGTCACACGAGCGTTTCGTTGACAGGCCGTTCAACCTAACGCGCGTTGTAGATTTAAACATCAGTATCTTCGGAACGGCACATATGAGCGCTCTTGGCGACGTGTCGTTGTCGCCAACGTGCATTGATGCCGACGTGCGTTTATGCGACGTACATTGATTCCGACAGTGTGGTTGTTGCGACTGCATCGATGGCTGACGTGCGTTGTTACCGACGTGCGTCGCCTAGCTGACGCCTAACGTTACCAGCAGCGAATGTAGGCCGTTTCGCAAAAAATACAGTTAATCTACGTCGGGTGCTAAGCGACTCTTGTGCGTTAACGTCATAAACGTTAGGTGAAGCGCGTCAACGCAATGAATGCTCATGAGACACAACCCTAACAGAAAAAAAAGAAAAAGAAAGAAAGAAATTGGCGCGGAGGGTACAGCGAAACAAGTTTCTCTGGCTTTGGAAAGTGAAAAGTGCCCAAAAGTACCATGAAAACAACACACATTGAAAATGACTCTGGTGCATCGGAAAACGCGAGTCTTTCACGAGGCAAGTTTGCACAAGCTTACATGAAGCAAGTTTACAAAGTTTGAACGTGCAAGGCGGGTTTGTTAAACGTGTAAACGTATAATTTGATGAAATTCCGGCCACGACTTGAAAATATAAACATACTATAAGAGAAAACTTGATAACGGGGACCGTGCTACCGAGATTCCATTGTTGTTAAATAGTATAAATTATTTCCATGCCAAGACTTGAATTCAGATCCATCAAGTTAAATTGCTCTGCATTTTATCACTACTCTATTCAGTCGCTCTGACATACTTACTTCGGCTGATGCTTAAAAATCGAATTGTCTCACCCATCATTTCCAACAAGCAATTTATGAAAATTCAGAGTTCACCAAAAAGGAGACCTGAGACATTCTTCTACGCATCCCTTGTTTAATTCATAGAAAAAATTTACTGTGGTTTTTGAGAAAAATTGTTTTTAAGAATTGCAATACCTCCAAGCAGAAATGACATAAAAACTATTTGTTTTTCAAAAAACAAACAAACAACGTACAAGGCCTTTTTAAAAGATCAGAATTTTTAAAACATATTTGTTGAAGGGAAAATCTGTATCTTCAATTTCGTATTTTACAAATTTTAACTTTTGCAATTTTCAAAAACACTCAGTTAGTCGGAAATAAGACTAGCATAACTCTCCCCCCCCCCTTTTTTTTGATACATACAAGGATAAAATTTAAAGAAAAAAATTGGAGACATTTTTGAAAAATAATAGTTTAAAACTTGCCTGTATTTAATGCAAAATTAGACAAAAACTACTCATACTTTTGAAAAATTATAGCTTATATGGTCTTATTTTAAGATCTGTATTTAAAGAACTGATTTCATCCACAAAAAATCTCCATCAATATAATAGTCATAGAAAGATATCGCAAAAAATTTGAATTTTTGAAATTTTTGAAAAATTAAGAATTTTAACAATAATGATATCTCCATTCTTTTAAACATTCTTTATGCTACCCATAGACAAATTTTAATCCAAAAATCTGCGGCATTTTGGAGAAAATTTTGAAAATGTTTCTGAAGCTCCATGTAAAGTAACCTATAGTAAGTAACTATAGAAGAATAAGTTTGTGTCCACAACAGGCATAACAGGCTTACAGTGAAAGACAGTTCTACAAACTACTTGAGTACAGACAAGTACACACTACAAAGGCAATGCTTGACTGATGCTTACATGCACTGGGACTCCAATATCTGGCCAACGAAGGTCCTCCAGAGGTGGCTTTGGGGAGTTCCACACTACCACCACTTTGTGCAAGTAAGGCAAACCATACAGGCGACTAAGAGAGTTGATGAGAACCTGGTAAAGAAAAATGTTACAAATACTTGAACCATATATGAACGTTGGCATGTTATACCTACAAGAAAACGTTTAGCATACTTGTTCACGTTCATATGTCAACATTACTATGGTGAACTGCTCCCGAGGGTTATTGCCTCCTAGGCTTTCACAAAACTCTTTGCCAGCTCCTCCTGCACCACGACCAATGGGTCGAAATCCTACTCCTGAACCTATCAACAAATTAAATTTAAAAGCTCATGTTAAAAATAAAATGGAGTGACTATTATTTAAAATATAAATAGAAAAAAAAAGAGTATACAAACCTAGAAACTTGGCATCTGATGGAAGAATTAAATCAAACGGTAACTGAGGATATAACCTAAAGGGGTCTCCCCAGTCATTCCACACTTCATAGCCCTAAAATTAACAGAGATGAAAATCCATCAGAGGTGAAAATATATTTAGAAGCAAAAAAAAACTATAACATTGACAAATCGAACAACTGTCCTTCTTTATGTTGTTTAAAAATATATTTAGCATGTTTAATTGTTAATTTGCATGTTTAATTTAATTGCATGCATATATAAGCATGTTTGACACAATATACGTTCCTCAGTTTTGGTAATAAACAAAATACATTTTGTAAGATGCCCACAACCCAACTTCTGGAGTAAACAATTCTATGAGCTACAATTCTATGACTTCCAGGATGGAGATCACAATCATTCTCTCAAATGGGAAAAGGAGAAAACAACTTCATAAAGAACTTCTAGTTGATTAATCCCAATTTTAATTTCAGACATCTTGATAAAATGAGAAAAAACATGCAAAAAGGCTGTTTTAAGTCTCAAATACAAATATAATCACGTTTTAGGTACTATGGAAATGGAATTTTGGAACCAAAACTTCAGAAACAAAATTAATTTTAAGTACCTGTATGAAAAGAGTAAAATAGATAATAAAGAGAGTAAATAGGCTAAAAATACAAGGTCTATTAACCCTTCAAGTAAATGTGATGACATATCTCACCCTGAATGACATTCCTCCTCAGTATGTGATGACATATTTCATTCATAGTTTTCTAATGCGATTCCAAAGAGGTGAAAGCAGTTGCAGCTTTCTTAGACAGCCACTTCCATACAATTTTAATTATCTGACTTTGTGTCTTAATTGAAAGCGTGTGTGTATATGACTTCAATGGGATTTATTTGAAGAGGTGCATGTGAAATTTTGAGGTTATAGTTCTGGTGTATTGTTTTGTAGCATTTAGTTTCATAAAGATAAAGAAATTGATGTGCTAGTGTTACAGTGACAAAAGTTAATGAGATTCTATCATTAATTCAAATGGACAAGGTAAGTAAAAATGATACCAATTGGATGTGGAGGAAAACGTACTAATTTCAAAAATTCAAAAGTTTGCAAATTATTTATGTTCTCCACAATGCTAAACTAATGAATTATTTTAAATTGTTATCTGACCCTAATAATGTTGATTTAATAGTATTTATGGAGCGTATACACAATAATTACATAACTTACAGGGTCCATTACAAAAGTAATGTGAATTTTCAGGGAAAAATAGATTTATTGATCGGACCTGTACAAATGCTTAAAATTCTTCAAAATACTCCCCCCGCTGCATCAATACATTTTTTGGGTCAGACCCACCTGGAAGGCACCCTGAAAGTCCTCGACGGGAATGTCTCTCAGGAACGTTGTAACATGCTTTTGGATGTTTTCCACAGTCTCCCAATGCTTTCCTTTCAGCTCTCTTCAGTCAGGGAAACAAACAAATGTCACACAGAGCCAATTAGGGATGGGGGACCACCAAAATGTTGCTCCTCCGAGCCAGGAAGTTGGAGGAAGGACATGTGGATTTGTCACGGTGGAGCTTGATGAAGGACGATGAGAGTACGATGAAGGATATGTGGACTTTTCATGGTAGAGCTTGACCGTGTCTTTGATGTCAGCCCTCACACACACGACCCAGTGTTTCAAACTCTTGAGCACCTCCACGTAAAAGGTTGAGACATTTTCTCCCTGCGGTACAAACTCAACATAGACAATTCCTCCGGCGTCAAAGAAGACAATGAGCATCGTTTTGATGCGAGACTTGCTCATGCGTGCTTTCTTGAGGTGGAGATGATTTTATGTGCCACTCGCTCTTGAAGCATCTGGAATGATTCGCTTGCATTCTTTCCAAGCTTCACGCAAAATTTGATGGCGTGTTACTGCCCAAGCGAAAGCACCATCCTTGTGTTACAAAGTTAGAAAAAAACACTTCACATGGAGGCATGTCTTTCATTTCACACTGCTCAGAGCAAACTGGTGACCAGCTTCTTTGTAATGGCAGACCCCCACTACATTTTCCGACTGGCTGTTCTGCACTGCCATGGATATTCAGGTGACAATAAAATCATGTACATTACTTTCATAATGGACTCTGTATGTGCTTGAATAAGAGAAAAAATTACAAGTGCCTTGGAAAAGTCTCACTGAGAGGGGTTCCAGCCAGAGGAGAGTAACACAAAGAGTTAAAGAGACCATTAATAAGTCTGACAAACATAAGGGCCCAGAAGGCAGGAAATATTTGAAAAAAAAAAGTATTTATATCACAAAACAAAATTGTAGCAAATCAATTGTACACAAACAATGCTTTTCATGAATTAAAATACCTGAGACAAAAAGTAAGTGTAGTTTCGCTTAAATTTTGGAGAAGGATAAGAAGGTTCTAAAGGCCCCAAACTTTCTTCAGGTTCAGCATCAGGAACAATGGCATCCATTTTCAATGGCTGCAACAATGAACAAAATATTCATAATTCCAAACATTATCCATTATCCATTATCCACAAATTCCATTCATTATTTCCAAACTGCTAACAAAACAAATAATTACAATATTTTTGAAAATTTCAATAAAGCTGCAGAATAAAAACCTCAACAATATTTTTGTGCATGTGAAGGAAAATAACTACAGTAATACTCTGTTTTAACGTTCGCGCATTTTACGTTTTCCTGCCTTTTACGTAATTTCTCGTTGGTCCTGTTGAAAAGCCTATATTTAGAATGCATTCTCTTCCCACAATTTACAACTTGATATGAAGAGTGCTTCCCATCTTTTACGTCTTTATTTAAAATTTATTTGATTTAATTTTTTACTTTCTTGCATACATACATTTTTTAACTAGTACTGAGAAAGTTATGTAATGCTGCGGCAAAAAACGGCGATTTTTCGACAGAAAAACTCATACTAATACTGAAAAACTGGATAAATCCCGTTCCAATATGTAGTACATTACTAGATATGTATATAAAGAAATCGCAAAAGTCTTGCGTTCGTTCAGATCAATTGAGGAATATCACTTTTGGAGAAAATCGGCGGCGGTTTAGACGCTCGCATTGATCACAGATGAGTAAACAGACATTTTCAGCAGGAAAAAAACACCGTTAATCGATTTTGCTGTTTCAAGGACCCATAAAACAGGGATTCAGGCTACATCACATGTTAAAGGAAGTAATTTACTATATATATAGGAATATGATTTATCCACTTTTTCATTACCAGGGCATGTCAATAGGAGATTTTCTGACGAAAATCGCCAATTCCGGTACATGCATACTTTTTTTTCTTTTAGGTGAGAAAGTGAAAACAGAGGAACCATTGCAGTAAATAAAGAAAGTACTCGCCTAGGCTATCGTTTTTCAACTTTCCTGTTTTTCACACTTTCCTACATTTTACACTTTTTTTTATCCGTACCCTGAAAAGTGTAAAAGAGGGGTTTTACTGTATATATTTCTTTCTTTTTCAGTCATATTTATTTACTTTTATGAAGCACCACAACCCTACATAAATCTCATAATTCATTAAGGGCCATTTTCACAGTCGACACGTATTTTTGAGGAACACTCATGGGTTTACTTATTTGCAATTTCAATTCATAGTCGTCACGTAAGTGTTCGATTTCGCATTCACTTATTCTTATATGTGTGCTTATCTGTTCATAAGTAGACCCTTGTTTTTCAACATGGAATAACATAAAAGATTTTTATGAGTTTTTGAAATTATTGAAACCAATATGGAAGAGCATATATCAAAGTGATGTTTGAGAGACATGGAAAATCCTTTGGAATAGCATAGGCAATAAGAACTTACGAAGAGATATCGTTTTGACAAGGATATGGTTGTGGATACATAAACATTAGTGTCTCTGTGGCTCACTCACAACGTGGGCTTGAGGAATAGAGGATAACCATTTCCACCAGTCGTAAAAATTCTAATGGCACACAGATTTTATGCAACATCATCATTTCTGTTATGTAATTTATTGATTTCAATTGCAGATCACCAGGGCATATTTTGAGGTTATCCTACAAGGACTATGTTTTATAAGTTATCTTACAATGATGATCACAATGCACCATATGAAAAAGTGTTTTTATTTTATTATTTTTTTCAGTTGATATGTGCAGATCTCTATAGAATATGTCAGCCCTCAGTTTGTAGAATTATTACAGAAATATCTGAAGTGGTATCAAGAAATATTAAATAGTTAATAAAATCCCCTTTTTTGAAAGCAATTGCTGTTAAAAGAAACCAATGATTCTTACAACAAAAGAAGCATTGAACACAGAAGGAGCTGGTTCTTCATCTGCAGGCAATGGTGGAATCCCCAAGCGGTCTCTGAGAACAGCCACCAGAGTGTCCACTGTGGCCTGCACTGATGCACAATAGCGCTCCCATAAGTGCCGTCCCTGTCGACGTAGGGCCACAAGGTCTGTGTCTGGTACAGTACGAAGGAAGAAGTGGAGCTCTGTAACTCGAGCCTGAAAAAAAACCAACACATCATTTAATAAAAGAAAGCATTATGGAAAAACCAAAAGACTTCAACTAAAAAACAACACAGTTAAGTTAGTCAAGGTAATATAATCTTCAACTTAAATAATAAAATATTTCCTTCCTTATACTAGTATTAACAATGTAAAATACATGCCAGAGACTGAAAGAAACTAAAATATTTGAAGACATTGAATATCAAAAACATATATAAGATACAAAATAAAAAGAAAATTGGCTGGAGTTAAGATTTAATAAAGTCACCAGAAGTACATAATTGTGAAATAGAATGCTCTAACTTGAAAAACTTTTAGTGATATATTTAAAGCTTCTATTTCCTTGCCTTTTGTGGTTTGCTCATTTCAAAGAATTCATTGAAACATATGATCTTTAAATTATTAAAAGACCAGTCAATTCTTGAAGGACTGGAAATTTGCCCTCCTTAAAAACAACCCATCTAATCAAACTGCGACTGTTTTGCTCAACATTCGCTGCAACAATAATTTAATGCACAATATGGCAATAAAGAATTACTAGTAAAAAAAACATTTTTGAGCCTCGTTTTACTAATATTACAAAATTGATTAGAAAATGAATAAATCGTTGACAGTCCATTAATCCATAACAACATGTACTGCTGTAATATTTCTGCACACCACAAACAAACTTACAACTTCAAACATCTTTGAAAAATATTATTTTTTGAATTATGTCACCATTGCAGCAAAAGTGTGATTTTCAGTTTAATCAGATTCTTGACTCACACAAAGAAAGAAAAATCCATACTATTTCAATTATTAACAAATATTTAAAAAATGTTCTGTTGAAAACAACAGTTTTGGTTTAAAACGGATTCCCATAAATTAAAAATAATTCAGATTCATTTAAGTACAAAAACAGCATACCTTGGGCAAAAACAGTGCAGCACGCCTCCACGCCAGAACTTCACTGTAGGGCAATTCAACTGAATCTCCTCCTAGAATGACAGGAACTGCACCAAGTTTCAGGGCCTCCAGCAGGCGCGTCTGGAGGAGGGTCGTCGAAACCACATCCAGCTCAGCATGAGGAGCAATAATGAGGGCAAATGTTGATTCCCGCAGAATTGTGGCCCGGGATGACTCTGTTCCACACAATGACCATTCACCAGCACCCATCGGAGGAGGAGTTCTAGTATTACTTTTACTAGCAGATGCTGTCTCACGCCCCAAAACTGCAAGAGTGCAATCAAAGTGGAAAAGGAACCTGTCTGTAGTTGGTCCCATTGCCATGCCCTGTAAGTGCTCAACTATGAATGAATCTATATCAGCAGTTGACCGAGAAACTCCTGCAGGTTGTATGTAGTCTCCCTGCAAAAAACAAAAAATAATTAAGTAAATAAAAATATGCTTTTACTTAAAAACCATAATCCCGCTACTGGAGAACTCAAATAAATTAATAGTGCTTTCCCATCAATTAAAGAATAAATTCCAAACACAGCAGACCTAAAGAATCACAAAGGAAAAGTAGAGAAGTTTTTGTTTTGTTAAGAATCATTCAAAAATGGCTAATTTGTACTCATAAAACATGTTTTTTCACCTTACCTGAAAAGATAACAATAACTGACGTCTTGCAGGAAGCATAGGCGGGCATTCTTGCCACACATCACCCCCAGGTTGCCCAAGTATAGGGGGAGCCACCAAATCAAAATGTGGTCGGAAGTGAGACCGCAAAAATGTTGATTGGACTATGATAGCACGTCCAGTGTCAACCCCTAAGAACAGATCACTGGCACCTGTTGCCACAGCAGAAGTAGGACTCCCTAGGGCGCTGACACCTGCTGCGCTACTGCGCGCCAAGTTCAAAAGTACATGATTGCGGCCATCACCTCCCCAGTATGGCAATGCGTGTAACAATCTCTCAAGCAATGCAGGTCCAGGAGCAACCATTTTATGCCCAGGTGAAGTAGTGTTAAACCAGAAATTGCGAGCAGCAAGAGACTCTCCAACAAGTACGAGGTACAGACATGCCGAATTTGGATCAGAAGTGAAATGTGGATTATACCTGCACATAAATTTAACTTCATTGAAAATACATTTGTATGTCAAAAAACATTTCAAATAATTTTTCAGTGGTCTATCAATACATAGAAATAAATTATTAAAAATTTTAATACAGGGTCATCGAAAAATTATTACTCACCCTAATGTCTGTTTCAGAGTCGTCTTCACAAAACCTTCTACTTCCCATTCTGGAGAAAGGACTGAATGTCGATCAGGGTCATACATATAAACTGGAAACCCTGACACCAACGAACAACGAGAATGATCAAAACAATTGTGCATCCTACAATGAGTGGCATATGACGGAGATATTGGAGAGAGTACAGCTGGTGCTTGTGAGGGCAAAATCTGTTTTGGGGGAGCCAAATCAGGAGTGTTGCGTTGAGCTGCTTCTCTCTGGGCAACTTGTGCCTGTGAAAGAAGATCAAAATTACTCCATGACTATGAAAAACACAAATTATTGAGCAATACATTCATTTAGAAAAGATTCATAGTCTTCGGTGAGGAAACCTTCAATAGCATATTAATTAAAATATCAGGTAAGAAGTAAAAAATAGAAAGAAATAGAAATATCATATAAAATTATAGCAACATTTCAAATTTGACAAATTTATTTACATTGCAATTGAGTACAGACAATGTTGATGCCTGTTTGCTATGTAAAATTACCAATGATGAGACATCATGTACTCAATTAGAATCTTTATTTATTAAAAATGAGCAATCATATGTGCAAAATAGGAATTCATTTAAAATTCCGAAATGCAGGTCACCATATGGTCTCTATTCCCCCTTTACTACACTTCCTAGAATGGGAAACAACTCTACACATAAGTGTCTGCATCTACCAACACACCATATTACCAAATTGTAATATTCCAGGGTTTACACTGAAACTCAATCTGGGACCAGCATCATTAGACAAATTGCTTTACTAAGCTCCCGGAAGTCATGGAAGATATGCAATTCCCGACACCATCCCTTCTTAGGCGGGTGACCATCTAGGAACTAACAACGCCCCACCACTAACGACACCACCACTGAGCAACTGGTCGAAAGAATAAAAGGCACTGAAAACTAGTGTTTTTATCATGTTTGTTTTCATTTCAAAGCTTTTATTTTTTACACCACACGGCCTTGTATTAAATAGAAATAAAAACTATATTTAAACCCATTTTTATGTTCCATAAAGCCCTTCACAAATTACATCATCTGGCTTTTGCATTAAAATAGTTCAAATAAAAAGTTTAATAGTTTTAGGAAGGTAACAGCAACTAAAATAAATTTATTTCACTAATGGGTGCTTTACATCTATTGCTTCTTAGGTTTCTACAAAAACTTTGACAACTTTTTCATTTGTTTTGAAAATTTGTACTCTATATGATTACTATTTTCTGTAAGCAAAATATTTGATAAGTCTTTGAAACTTTCCAAAAATGAATTATCTAACATTTATGTCTTAAAATAAAATACAATGAATTAAATTATAATTCATTCTGAATGTTCTCATTTTCTAGCATTAATTTGTCCTTTAAAATATTAACTCATAAATCCAATCAGTGTTCTTAAAGAAAGAATACTCAGTTTCCTTTAAATACACCACACATCCAAAATGCATTTACTCCCAATGATATTGTTGCATCCACTAACTATGAAGTCACGGGATATGACTTCAACAATCATTTAGAAGGCATTACTATATTAAATAAATAATATCATGGCCTTTGAAGGACATAACTACCTGTTCAACTGATATCTTAAGTCGTTCGAGATCATTTTGTTGACGAGCAAGTTCCTGTTTGAGCTCTTCAATTCGCTGTGTAAAGCCAGTAACTTCAAGCTGCAATCGTTGTCTCTTTGCTTCCAGTTCACGAAGTTCCACACTCACAGAATCTAAGAAAAAGTGAATAATACAAAATAAATTAGTTCCTAAAACATACATATTCCAAAAATATTTTTGGTATTACTATAATTTCAATCAGCACAATACTTTAGTTTTTTTGTACACAATATCATTGTCCGGATTATATTTACATTATTTTCAAAAGCTTACTTAAGGGTTTTGTTCATATTCATAATCCAATAATATTGATCACATTTTCAATAACTTAAATCTTGATTATTGATTTTATTTTATTTTTTACCACTTCAATTAACAATGAGCAGTAAAATTCATTAAAACAAACCTTTTATTCTTAACATTTCCTCAATTCTAAGTTTAAGATCAGAGGCTCTGAGTGTACTGAAGTCTTCAAAAGCCTCCAAACTCGAAAGTTTGGACCGAGTACGATGTACATCTCCATTGGGTACATCAGCTTCCACCTAAGATTTAAAAAAAATCATATTTAACAAAATGCAAATACAGGAACACTTTCTGGTCTGCTTAGAACAATAGCTGATAATGCACTCTTACCTTGGATAAATAGTAATGAGTGACAAGAGGTACAATAATGAGCACAACAGACACCAGGATTATAATCCTTGAAAGCTTGACATGACTTAACCAACGACATAATAGTTCCCTGTTACTGAGAGGTTGGTAGATTATTCCACTCTCTGCCATATCTTAATGACTACAAATAAAATGTTCCTGAACTTAACTCCATATCACACATTAAAATCGCTTTTCAAAACGCCTTCTTAAGCGAAAAACAATTCAATATCTACTTTCTTGTTGGTACCAAAATCATGACAGTTTTCACGCCGCACGTACAAAGACTTATTATTAGCAAATTATTGATAAACTGAGCGAGACATTTTGATTTTATTATATTTTTATAGTGTATTTTGTAAAATATGTTGTAGAAAGTAAAAAACAGAAAGTGGACACATAACCTCAAACATCACTTTAAAACAAGACTAGGATATTTTTCTCGCACATCATCTTAACTATTGCTGGAATAAAAGCTACTACCATAGAAAACAAATAACGACAATTCGGCACAAACAACTGGCATGTTAAAACTGTTTTATTTTCAATACGGTCAACATTCTCAGTACGCGCCTACCGATGTTCACTTTCTGTTGAGTTGACAATGTGTTATTGTGTTTCGCAATGTACACTCTCTGTAATTGATACTCCGCCAGTACGCGCGAAACTTAAATGCTAAAAATGGAATGCTGGAAATAATATTTTTAACGAATATTATTTCATTTAGGTAAAATTCATTTAGCATTTTATGAATAAATTTTGAAGGAAATGTTCAAAAATAATAACTCTTATTACAAATACAAAAGCATCTTTACCCATTATAATAATTAAAGAATTGTACAAAAAAGGACATAAATTCATACAAAAACAAATAACGAAGTCGTAAAAATTCAGTTAATTTTAATTTTAACCGCGTATGTTTCAGTCATTAAAGTTGGTATTTCCATTAGAAACAAATTTTTGAACATGATAAATAATCGTACTTTTAATTTGTCGTTAATAAAATGTAGAGGAAATAATTAAATGTTAATACCTCTTACATAAATATTATTTGTAATTTTATTTCTATTTATCAAGGAAAAAGTTTGTTTTTGGCCTTAAATCAATTAAAATTAAATAAAATTTTAAAAACAACATGTAAACAATGGTCTAGCGCGACAAAATTAAATGAAAAGACGGCTGCACCAAGAAAAGAAATTTTTCGAAGTTATCTCCAAGCAGTTATCTTTACACACATAACTTAGAGGACGCATCGTCTAATGCATACCATAATAATAATAATAATAATAATAATAATAATAATAATAATAATAATAATAATAATAATAATAAAACCCGTGTAATGCCCAGAGTTTTTAGTAGGATAGCACCATGGACTACCCTCCCTTTCATAAGTGGCGACTAATACCCTCCCCACAAGTACGTCCTTCTTTCCCCTTCCCCTTCTCACTATCCCTCTCAGGAACCAAGAGTGAATAGAGTAGCCCTCAGGCATCTGCTGCCTAAAGTTTTCCTCCCAATTTCCTTCCTCCCCCCCTCCGGTTGTAGGGTAAAAAAATATAAAGATACGAATAACGAGTCGAAAGTCCTTAGAACCGAAGCCGCTGCCTGGGAAGCGCCAGGGTGCCTCTGGAGCCGCAGTATGCGAGCCGGTGGTGAACGTTAGCTGAGCAGGCGAGCCCTAATCGAGGACCAACCCTAAAGGAGGACAGCCGCGGATAATAGTAGAAGCACCCAACAGCAATGCGCTTTCTCTGCTGAACGTGTTTTGTCGGATAATCAACCGACAACCACTAAAGCTGGCCTCATTTGACAACGAATTAAATTGAATACTGATATGAACAACGAAAATGTCATTCGCTATTTTATGAATGCTACAAATTGTGAAACTGATATGAGAGAATATAAAAAATGCTAGGAGAAGAGTTTGATTAAAACTAACAGAAACCACCAACAGTGTCCGTACTTGCTCGCCGGAGCCGTACGAGTGAAGTGACTACGGCAGGTGAATGGCATAATAAAAACAATAACAACAATAATTCCCCCGTGCGGTGCTCGGGGAGTCTGTAGAATAACACCACGGAATATCTTCTTGTAGAAAGAGGCAACTAATCGGAGCAGCTGTCGACTGTCTCTACCTGTGTAAGTCGGTCCGTCTTTCATTGTTCCTTCTGAGCCCCCCTCTAAGCGCTGCGCGACGTCCATGGCAATACCAATATTCCGAGGGAAATACCAATATTCTGTTTTCGTCTGACTCTTGTTGCAACTTAATTTTATGGATTTTATGTTTTACTGAAAGTACGCAAGTTTAGTCTATTATTACTACCGGGTCACACACTTGGATAAAATAGGAATGGTTACACAAACTGTTTCCTGAATTTACTTTGACTTTCAGCAATTTTCAGGTTACTGAACAAAGATGCGCGCGACGATGGTGTAACGGTTGGCGCATCGGACTGTTACACCAGTTGGCGGGTTCAAACCCGATCGAAGCCGTGTATTTTTAAGGACGAAAAAATCCTTCGAACGCCTGCCTTCGGAGGGGAAGTAAATCTGGCTGTTCCATGTAAGTAGATTTACTTGTGAGTAAAAGATCCTCAAGCCTAAATGACACCTCTGAGCAAAATTCATTCAAGCCTGTTTCTCGCCCAAGAAATGTCTCCTTTCTCTGCTAGTTGGTGAACGGAGCGTAGCGAAACTTGTGTGGTCAGACGGAAGAGCGGACCTGATTGCTTGAGTCTCGTCACGTAAAATAAGGCATTAATTCAATTCAATTCCAAGATTAGCTGATCAATTTAGAGCTCTTCCTCGCTGTAACTGGACCCCCAAAACACGTTTTGATGCCAATATAGTACAGTACAACGAGGATGAGGGTTTTACTGACTTTTGAAGAGAGAAATGGATCACGCATACTCATTTTCAGGGTCATTGTGTTTCATCCATTGATAATGTCAACCCTGGGTAAATGAAAATCCTCAAAGAAGTAATTTCGCATGATCGACATAATGAACTCGAGATTCTTTCAGGGTATATCAATTCGTCACAAGATCTGGAAACGTTGCATGTAGTGATATACTCTTCTGCAATCATAATCGTGAGACCACTAGGACTAGATAACTCACTTGCTGACATGGCCAATGCGTATGATTAGAAATATTGAACAATTTAGGAGTGACATAGCAAAGTTAAACATCCATATCGAAGGTTCTAGTCACCTAAGTTTTTAAGAAAAGTGGCACTTCAAACCAATATAGTTCTCGCTCTAAACGTGAGGCTGTACAATAGTGTCTGAACACACTTCAAACACTTCAAAGACACACAAAGATCACAAAGACTCACACTTCAAATATTGTTATTCTATATTCTACCAGAGAAACATTTTTCTACCATATCTTGGAAAATAAGGACTGTACAGATACAGATAGAAACGGTTACCTTACACAGGAAGAAATCGCCACATTTTGGGTCAATTAGTTTGCATCTTCAAAAAACTTCAATAATAAAG